ATCTCTCGTATGGCATAAGGGGGCTGCATTGCGATATTCTGTCTATGTCTGGATGAGTATGGTGGGGGGGCTTAAAACTGCGGACGCCCTTCATAAACGTAACATTATGGTGCAACCTTTGTGCAGTCTTTGTAATGCTTTTTCTGAGTCCACAACGCACTTATTTTTTGAATGCTCTGTCTCGTATTCCATTCTGGCCCGCAACATTCCGGTTTCTCATGGCCTTCTGCTTAGGCCGAGTGCGCTACATCTCTTTGAATGGATTGCTTCCTGTTTTGCTGATAACAAACCTGAGAGGAATTTTTACTTTCTCATTTCTAGCTGCACTATCTACCACATTGGAAGGAAAGAAATGATAGGAGGTTTGGGTCCTCCTTTAAATGTGTTAATACGGTTGCACTGATCATTAGAAGAGCTGTATTTGAAAAAATTTCGAATTGGAAAGATGTTGGTATTCTCAGGGAGCTGCTGTAATGGGAATCTATTTATCTCTGGCCCGTCTCGTTGCTCATCTCCGACTGGCCTGAGGGATTTTCTGCTTGGACGATGATGTTCCCAATTCAGGCTCTTCTTGGATGGCCTTCGGGCAACCAGGAGGATTCTCGTTGCTGCCACTTACATGCTACTCTTAGCATTTCTTCTGATCTATGCTGAGTCCAAGCTTTTTATTTTTTCAACCTATTTTGATTTTTTTGGTGCTGAACTGTAACCCTGGGCTGAGTTTTTGTTCTTCTTTTTTGCAGGTTTTACTTTCTACAGTTAATTTTTGGGTTAAATCTGTCTAATTTTTTGGGGCCTAATTGGCCAGCCTCTTTTTTTCTTTGAGGCTATTGTTATTTACCTGTAACTTTCTTTTATCATCAATACACGGGCTATGCCCAAATTTTCACAAAAAAAAAAAAAAAAAAAAAAAATTTACATAGACTAAAACAGAACACATGTCAACTATTACATTAACTGAAAGTTACATTCATTGATTCAAACTTACATTGACTCGAAGTTACATTTACTCACACCTATTGCTATGATCAACATTAAAATAAGCAGTACAACCAACAAGATTTTTATTTGTAAAAGCTTGGCTTTAACATGAGTTAAGCTTGTTTCGATAACATTTGAACTTCTTCGATAATTCATATCATGCTCTGATTCATTGAGTTCATCACACCACCGAAAAAAATTACAATCTTCTTCTGATCTATTCCGGGAACATATGTAGAATTTTCTTCCACAACTACACGATTTGTATGATGTATATATTGTACATTGCAAATTGCAATGACAATATACTTGATTATTCGGGTTTCCAATTGGTGTTGCCGAAGAACTTGAACTCATTGTAAAAAAATGCTAAACCTGTAAGATAAAGAGAGAAAGACAGCTAATTAGCTATACAAGCGTATAAGTAAATTTCTCTCTAAATTTGCCGCCTTGGCATTCACTCTAAATTTGCTGCCTTGGCATTCAATCAAACAATATTTCAGATTTTAGATTTCTCTCTAAATTTGCTGCCTTGGCATTCAATCAAACAACATATAAGTTAAATTTGCTTCTTTGGCATTCTCTAAATTTCCAAACACATCAAGCATTCCAGATTATAAGTAAAATTGATGCCTTGGCATTCAATCAAACAGGTCACACCCAACTGTTAATTTTCAATGAAAAAAAAAAAAAAGCTAGAACTCGCCAAGCTCATCCGGCCAAACAAAACAAAATGAAAATGATACAAAAAAAAAAAATGAAAATGAAGACAAGCTCATCCGACCAAAAAAAAATGAAAATGAATACAATCTCATCCGACAAAATGAAAATGAAGACGATGCATAACCTTGCCGAAACAGAGAAATGAGAACCTTGCGGGAAAAAAAATGATGAGAAATAGAGGATGCAGGGTAAACAATACATTCATTGCCGAGCTAGATCAATTAAAAAAAAAACTAGAACCCTAAATCCCGGACAAGGCTTTAGACGGGGAAGACGATGCATACCTTGCCGAGCTCCTGCGAAGTGATCGAACAGTACGAAATCAATGGTGAAGGCGACGGCTTTAGCTGCGAAAGACAATGCACAGCGCGAACGAAATCCTTGGAGCTCGCTACGGCTAAAAGGGGGAAGAAGCTGCTCGCCCGAAATGAAGAACATTACGAAATCAATGCTCGCCTCGGGCAGGGTTTTAACTCTCCGTTAACGGAGTGGTATTTTAAAGTATAGAAATGTTATTTGAGTGGTATATTAGTAAATATAACACTTTGAGTGTTAAATATGTATTTTGAAATGTTTTAAGTGTCATGTATGTAAAAATCCCAAAAAATAAATTTAAGAATAGGCAAAGTCGCCCATCAAATGAGCGACTTATGCTGACTTAGACTTGCTGAGTCATGCATGTCTCAATCGTCGAACTAACATACGACTTATTTAAAAAAATGTTACTATAGTAAGTTGCCAATTAAACGGGCGACTTACTACATTAAATTCTGAAAAATAATTTAAAAATAAATTAAGTGAAAAATATATTAAATAAATATACTTAAAAAATAATTTAAAAAAATAGAGGAAGAATAAAAAAAAATGTTAATGTAAACTACAATTTCTATATTTTAATAGAAGTTAATAATTTTAAAATATATGTTCATCAAAATTTGATAAAAATTTTATTTATTTTGACAGTATTAAAATTGCAATTTGTATTTTTAATGGATAGGCGTTATACCGAAAAGTAAAGTGACAAAAAAAAAAATAATGATTCAAAGTTTCTCCTTAAACACAAGCTTCGAAAGTAAATATCATAACTCTATATTTTTGTTGTCTCTATTTTTTATTTATAATTATTTTTCAAGTATATTTATTTAATATATATTTTCATTAATTTTAATTTTAAATTATTTTTCAAAATTTACTATAACAAGTCGCCCTTTTAACGAGCAACTTACAATAGTAAGCAACTGGCACATGACTCATCAAGTCTGAGTCAGCCTAAGTCGCCCGTTTGAAGGGCAATTTTGTCTACTTTTAAATATATTTTTTTCAATACTTAATTAAATTATTAAATTTTTAATAATTCCTAGTTTAAAAATTTTCCCATTTGTTGCAGGCTGACTCCGCCACATTTGCCGATTGCATCGGTCGACTGATCTCAACGTTAAAGACCAACAATGTGATATCTAAAAAAAGTAAGAAAAAAATCGTCCCAAACGAATCCATAAGATAGTATCAAAATCACTTTCTAGCACGTAGCACGACTGATATATGCCAGCGAATAAAACAGTAAACAAACCTTATAAACTTTGTCCGTCCTTAGTTAGGTCTAATGATATTCATACATGTTAAGCTGTCTTTTTAAGGTTTAGCTTATTGCAATAATAAATTAAATCCATCTCTTTAAGAACAACGTGATACCAGTAAAGATTCCAAACGTATCTCTATTATTTGATGAAGCACGATGTAGGAGTAGGTGAAAGTTGGTTCAGATTTCAAACTGCTATTAAGTCATTTGAAAATATTTATTCTTCTGATCTACTTAGGAATGAAGTAGCTAGAAAGAGAGATGGAATTCTCATAAGAATATACCTGAAGAATATAGAATTCCTATTACTTTCTTAACGCCTAAAGCTATTGCAGGAGATGATTGTAGTTTTTTGTAAAGATGATTATAAAGTTGTTGTAGAAAAATAACTTTTTTCGATCGTTTATTTAACACCCGATCGATGTTTATTATTTTATGATAGCAATGATACTATTTAACTTTGGATCTAGAGATCAAAGTATTGCATGTCTTCTTGATCGTTACATCTGTTGTGTTCTTGTCGTTTCTTTTAAATTGATTATAAATAGCTAAAACTCTAGAAAAATGATCTGAAAGTGACTTGATTTCTTTCATGTTTAATAATTAAACTCTCCTTTCGAAGTTTGAAATCACTTTTGTTTAAGTTTCTCTTCTATCTTGCAAGAGATTTGAACTCCAACCCACCTTCAGAAAGGGTTCACCATCTGGTTCGCCACTTGCAAGCCACACGACATGCGACGTCTCACCTAACCCATCAGCTTCACCTAACTCACCTGCGAAATTCGAAATAGAGATGGTCCGCGGGTCGTGTCGGGTCAACCCGACAACCCGCACAAATCGGGTTAGGGTTGGATTTCCTGACCCGTTTGTAGAAACTGGTCAAGTTAGGGTCGACCCGGAGTCCCAGATCAATCTAGGTTGGACCCGAACCCGACCCGCAAACCCATTTTGACACTCCTAATTTAGAGCATTTTTTATATGCGGTAGAACTTAAGACCTTCTCAAAACAATCGCCATCTAATGCATGGTAGGTTATTCAAATAAGATTTGAGTCAATTGAATTTATGTCGTTATGTTCGATTCAAATAACTTTGAACCAAAAATTAAATGGGTTGAATTTGACTCAAGTTATTTTGGGTCAGGTCAAATTTGGATATGACTCAAATCTTCTCAAAACAATGACCATTGTCCATTGCTGTCACTATTTATTTTTACACTAAATTAATTTACCTTAAATTAAAAAAAAAATCTCCTTTCTTTATTTTACACTCATTCAAATAATTCTAAATTATTTTAAATATATTATACGCATTTTATTCTGCTTTTCTGTTCCAACAAAGCTGATGGCTCCCACGTAAACAGAGCTAATGCCACACATGAGACTTGCCTTGGAGCTAGCTAGCTAAGCTATCTAAATCATTGAAAAATCAGCAAGGCAGACCCCCACAATGATACCTTCTCTTGTCCTTTGTATAACTAAACTACACCAAATCACTAATAAAAATAGGTCTCTGATTAGCCCAATAATTAAATCGCAAGTCACAAGAAACCATGTGACAGTTCCCAGCTAACATGCATGAAAAGAATCCTAACACTAAATGACAGAGCTAAGCAAGCCATGGATCAAACCAATCCAGGCCTATAAAACTACTTCAGCAAAGCAGGCTCAGAAGACCAAGCTATAGCTTGATTGTCTGCTTTACTTCTGTTCTGAAAAATGGAGATACTAAGCTTCAAAAATCTCGTCTTCCTCGCCTTGTTAGGGTTTCTGATCAGCTTTGTTGAAGCAGACCTTAAGTTAGGGTTCTATGATAAGAGCTGTCCTAAAGCAGAGAAGATTGTGTTCGATTATGTGAAGAAGCATTTCCCAAACGCGCCAGCTTTAGCTGCTCCTATTCTTAGAATGCACTTCCATGATTGCTTTGTTAGAGTAAGCTTAGTTAAACTCTTCTCTGTCCATGAATTAATGTATTTTACTGTCTCCTAATTACTGTTATCTTATTTAAACTATTTAATGCCATTGGTGATTAGAACATTAAATTTTTATAATTTTATCCAACCAAGTGTGATCACCTACATGAATCCTTTTTCTTTATTGCATCTTGCTAGGAAAGATTAATTATTATGTGCGGGTGTCGAATATCATCCGGAGGCCAACCAGAATGTGCCATGTTACCCCTTACTCGGTACAGCGGCTCGGTACTACTTGAAACTGCGGTTGGATATTGCTGACGTGACGCATTTTGGTTGGTCTTCGGACAGCGTTTTATGTCTGGTCTCCCCATAGAATAATTTCTCTTAAATCTAATAAGAGTTAAATTCTCATTTAAATCTAAAAAAGAAAAGATCATTCTTAATATTTCTAAACCCTAAACTAAGACATAAATGTAATTTATGAAATAATTATTTAATAAATTTCAGCAAATTAAACCGCTGATATTTTCTAATTATTGCAACTGCGGAGCCAAATTTTTATATCATTAAGTTTTTAAGAGATATAATTGAATCTCTTCTTTAAATGAAAATTATTGACTAATTTTATTATTAATTTTTGTGTGCAAGCTATGAAAATATTTTTGGAGATTTTGTTTAAATGAAAAATATCTTGAAGAGATAATTTCTTGATATTGTGATATCTTTTTTTTCAATATTAAAAGATTGTCATAGCTTGTGGGTTCATATTATAAATTATATATCTCCAAAATTTTAAATAACTATTATAAATAGAGCTTGTGAAGGAATAATTTGACATTCTACCATGGGCGGATCCACCACATGCTTAGCCCACCCTCAATTTTTTTTTTAAATATTTAGTGTGGAAATTTTGAAATATTTTGGGTATTTTGGGCATTTTTCCGCCCCCCTCCCCCCCGAACCCAAAATTTTTTTTTGCCCAGCTTAAATTAATACTAAGCATCTTTGTCCATCCCCAAAAAAATAAACTTTTTTGATCCACCCTAAAAAAAGAAACTGGATCCACCCCTGCATTCTACAATCATAACTATACAGCAAGAAGGTGTAGGAATTGGATTCGAGCTTTCTTATCTACTTAAGCATTTGTTTCAAGTTTGAGCCATATTTTTCACTTGAGCCGAGCTCTAGTTCGATAAAGTATAAATTAAACTAAAGTAAAAACTCTCTCTCTCTCTATATATATATATATCTAAGTTTTAGTTTTATCAAGAGGAGAAACATTCAATCATTGCAAAATAAACTCCTACACTAGTCATAAGAAAAGATTAATAATAGTTAATGGCGACAACTTCTCATCATCCAATCTCATTGAATGAATGTGTTATTAATCTCCACTACTAGAAATTGTTATTTTTTATAGCGCTTAATAGCACCTTTTTTTTATAACCGCTGCTAAAAGGATTTTTAGAAGCGGTGTAAACCGTGGTTTGTAATCTTCTTGACTAGCTACTAATCTCCCGTGAGCTCCTTCCCATTGTAATCTCCCTCTCCCGCGAGCTCTCTACCATTGTAATCTCCCTCGATATTCATCATCGCCCGTGCCCTAGCTAGCTCCCGCAATCCAGTGTCTCTCAGCAGGCTTGCGTACGTATACATCTCTGCTTCTAGCTTCCTTATCATGATCGCCTACATCTCCAAGGCTCGCATCTGTCCGTCTCAGGTTCACGAACGTCTCCCAGCTTGCATACGTCTCTGTTGGCCTCCTTCTCCGACGTGCCCTAGCTCGCATCTCAAAGAAGCACATATGCGGCCAACTACTCTTCATCAATCGAGCCGTTGTACTCCAGCATCAAACCGTTACTATAGACCCATTTTCCAAATTTGCAGGTCTTAAAACCGTTGTAATGTAAAACACAATTCCCCTTGGCCTATTGGTTGAGAGCTTAGGCTTCCAACTAAGAGGTCTAAGATTCGAGTCCATGTGTATGCGTTGTATGTGTGAGTTTGCCTTAAATGGCCTAAATGTCCCAAAAAAAAAAAAAACCGTTGTAATAAGCATAATTGTGGGTGTTAAAACCGCAACTAAAATAAGCGCTGTGGAAGTCATTTGCATCGATAATAAATACGGGATATACAGCGGTTTATAAACTGCTGCTAACAGTAAGTGTTTTAACCGCTGCGATGAAAAAATGCTGCCAAAGTTTATTTTAATAATAGTGCTTATATTTATCTCATATAAATTTTATATGAAATATAATATCTTCATCTATATACTTCGAAATTTAGTAGATTATTTAATTTTTTGCGACAATGAATATAAGTTGATCTCATCAAACCACATAAAATTTATGAAGCTATCTTATGTATTTATTTAATTTAATTTTTCATCTTAATCTATTTTGCCAGTTATAATTAACTTAACAATAACAACATAGTTTATCAATTTCAGAGCTGTTTTAACCTAACCTAACAACATTTAAGTTATAATTACGTTTTTCTTTCTTCCTCATTTAGGGTTGTGATGCTTCTGTTCTGATCAACTCCACCAGTACAAACCAGGCAGAGAAAGCTGCAACACCCAATTTAACCCTTAGAGGCTTTGGAGTCATTGATATCATCAAAAGCTTAGTGGAAAAAGAATGTCCTGGTGTTGTTTCTTGTGCTGATATTCTTGCTTTGACTGCTAGAGATGCAGTCGCAGTTGCGGTAAGATTTATCTCAGCTAAGTTCTTAATTATCCTGTTACATAGTACTTAAGTCCTTAATTTCCATTAGTGATTGGATGAAATTATTAATTAATGTTAACAGGGAGGTCCATTTTGGCATGTTCCTACTGGGAGGAGAGATGGCTTGATCTCCAATGCAACAGAGGCCTTGAACAACATTCCACCTCCAACATCTAATTTCACTGCTCTGCAAAAATCATTTGCTAATAAAGGGCTTAATCTGACTGATCTGGTTCTTTTATCAGGTAATTAATTTGATTAAAAACTTAAACATCCTTTAGGGCTCAATTGGTTGCTTAAAGTTGAAAATTATGCTTTGAAAAATAATGGAAATTGTTAATTCTATCATTTAGATGGATATAATTATCACAAATATGTTGGGAAGAACAGCTTGTGAGTAAGGACACTTATGAGTAGGGGTGTCAATTTGGGTCGACAGGTCGGATTCGGGTCGAACCTGAGTTGATCTGGTTCTAAAAGGGCCAACTCGAATTCAACCCGTTTTTGCAAACGGGTTGGCTATTTCAACCCAGACCCGACTCGCGCGGGTTGCCGAGTTGACATGACCCGACCCGAATTTATGAGATTTGGCTGAAAAAGTTGTGCATCGGCAGAGACTTGTCGGGCAACGCACGCGAAGCGACTCGACTCATCGGGCAACCCGGTCAGCCGGACACTCGACGCGGACAGGGCGAGCAACAGACACGGGCAAATTGTTCCCGGGTCATTTTTCGGATTTTTGGGTCAACTCGAACTTGACCCTATTTTTTAAACGGGTCAGTTTGCTAAACCAAACCTAATCTGTTTCACAAACGGGTTGACCCGAACCCGAATTTTTCTGGGTCGGATTTTGAGTCATCTCAAAAATTGACAACCCTACTTACGAGAATGGACAGATTATTTTTCAAAGAGAATAAAAAAGAATATAATAGAGTTTTTGATTTTTTTTAGACATCTTTCTTAATGTTTTATAAAAACAGCTTTCTAATATAAAAATTTTTGAATTTTGAAATTTTTATACCAAAAACTATCCTAAACAAAGTCTTAATATAATAGTGATTTTTCATGAAAAATTTGTAGTTACCAATATGTTTTAGCTAAATTATATATAATTGGTTCAATTGACTTTCTTAATTAGGTGCACACACAATCGGAATCTCTCACTGCTCATCTTTCAGCAATCGCCTCTACAACTTCAGTGGAAAAGGTGATGAAGATCCATCTCTAGACAAGGTCTATGCTTCCAATCTCAAGAAATTAAAATGCAAAACTCCAAATGATAACACAAGCACAGTTGAAATGGATCCAGGAAGCTTCAAAACATTTGATCTTGATTATTATAAGCTTCTGTTGAAAAGGAGAGGTTTATTCCAATCTGATGCAGCACTTACTACTGTTTCTGCCATTAAAGCTCAGATCTCGAAGCTTGCTGGGGGTCCTCTTGAAGTATTTTTCAATGCGTTTGCTCAATCGATGGAGAAGATGAATAAGATTGAGGTAAAGACTGGCAATGTAGGTGAAATTAGAAAGAACTGCGCTGTTTTTAATAGTTAAATCAAAGCTAAATGGCTTTGAGATTCAGATATTTTAAATCTCCGTGTAATGGAATAACGGCTATATTTGAAGACTGAGGAAGATTGTAAACATGTGTTCTATTTTTTCATTGAAAATTAAAAGAAGTTCTTTCAATTTTCTTACAGATTGAATATATACTTTCAATGTGAAATGAATTTGTGTGATGATAAACAGAAATTGTTTTCAGAAGATGAGAACTATTCAAATCAAATCTATTTCACTAAGTTGATCAGGATGTTCATGGTGGTTTTGAAATTATGATAATAAATATCTATTGCAAACGTTGTTCTGCATTGAAGGAGAAGCTGAAATGAAAATAACTTGAAATTTGCTGAAATTCCTAAGATCAATTAACTACTAATTACTCTCTAATGGTAAAAAGCCAAATTATTACAATATACCTATTATTTTTTTAAATTTTCACAAACAACAAAAACAACATCAAGCCTTTAGCCCACTACACGGGATCAACTACATGAATACTTTTTCTCCATTGTGTCATGTTCATAGTCAAATTCTCATTTAGATCTAATAAAAAATGTCATTTCTAATATTTTATAACCAAGTCTTTTTAGGTCTACCTCTACATTTCTTAACATCGGTTAAATCTAGTACATCTACTCTCCTAACAGGGTCATTAGAAAGCCGTCGTTTTATGTGACCAAATCATCTAAGGTGACTCTCTCTAATCTTATCTACCACTGGAGCTACTCCAACCTTTTCATGTATATACTAATTTCGTATCCTGTCTCTAGGAGTAAAGCCACTTATCCACCTGAGCATCCTCATCTCTGCAACACTTAACTATCAAACAAGCATGCTTATAAACAAATCTAATGAGTATTCTTGAGCTATCAAATGAGCAAGATCTAACGATGAAATATAATAAATTAGAAATTATAAGGAAATTAAAACTACAATATATATTTGTTGACCTCTAAGCATTAACCAGCACAACAAAAATGAAAATCCCGTGTAAATACCTATAAGCTGTTCATGCATTTTGATGAAGATGCTCCCTACACCAACTTTATGACAGGCATGATCATCTCCCATGGTCACAGCACCACTATCAAGCTTCTTGTAGGTACCGAACCACTTTTTAATGGAACAAATGTGATAGGTAGCACAATTATCCAGAATCTAGCAGGAAACATCTGAATACAATATTTGATATATCTGAATCTTCATCACGCACTTCTATACTAAGATTAGCCTCGATGCAAACTCACTTTCCTATTTTCCCTTCTCCTTCAGCTTCGGTCAATCTTTCTTTCAATGAATAGTCTCCAAGCAAAAAACACACTGATTCTTTCCAAGATTGCGCCAACTAGACTTGTCCTGCTTGTCACTATCGCCCCTTTTATTATTCTATTTCTCATATCTTCCTTGTTGGAGTGTGAGAGCCTCAACTGAATCTATCTTTGTAGACTCTTTGTCCCAACACCGGAACTCATGGTTCAACAATACAATAGTCACCTCACCCATGACCTCCTTCTCATGAATGAATGTCATTATGAAGTTTTCGTAATCATCTGGGAAGAAATTCAACAGGAGCGACTTGTTTTTATATCTAACATCTTCATCCAATTTAAAAAGATATGCAAATAACTTTGTGAAGTCATTCAAATTCTCATCAATTACAATCCCATGCTTCATCTGAAGCTAGTAGAGCCGCTGTTTCATATGGAGACGATTCTCCACTCCTTTTGTCAAATTTTTATTCTCCAACGTCTTTCACAGCTTCACAGTAGAAGTCTCCATCATCACTCCATATACTTGATCTCCTGAGATAGTAATTTCTAATCAAGCCACAAGCCCTCCGATTCATTTTGATCAATTCTCTTTCAAAAATTTTTTTAGAACGTTCATTAGCATCCAAAATATCCTCTAGATTCAAAGAGCACAATGCATCCATCACCTTATATTGCCACATGCTAAAGGTTCCCTTGCCATCAAATTTATACACGTTAATTTTGATGGGATATGTAATCACCTGATGAATCAATGCCTTCTCCACCGATGAGGTGGATATATTCATGGCTCCACCGGATCTTATAGCCTCCACCAAATTACAATCTCCTAATGATGCCATAATTACACTAATATGGCTTAACAATCAATCAAGCCTAGTGCGTCTAATCCGTCCGAATGTTGCTACAAGCCCGGTCGAACCACACTAACAGAAAATCTTCCTGTTCGTTGTTGTCAAAATTTGTTGAAATATAGCTCTGATACTAATTGTTGCACAAACAATAACATCGAAAATAAAATGCACATAACATAAACACAATAAACACAGTGATTTACATGGTTCGGTGAAGATGTCTACATCTACGGGGAGGGGATGATGATTTCACTATATTGAAGAACAATAAAGAATTACAATAGCTCTCAAGCTTTTTCTTCTCTCATACACTCAACAGCATCCCCTAGGGATCTATTTATAGGTTTGAGCCAAAGTAAAATAGAAAAAAAAAACTTCATAATATATAATCCTAATCAAATCCCTAATTAATGCAATAATCAAATCCCCTTAATTAATGCATCAATCAAATTCCTAGTTAATGCAATAATTAGATCAACTAATTCATGTATCAATTAAATCTCCAATCAAATCAACTTAATTAGAAATATAATATATTTCCTAATTAATGGGTCATTTAAAGCTTTACAAATAAAACTTTATTACAGTTTGGAAATAAATCCAAATCAACTTTAACATGCATTAGAAAGCGAAATGCAAAAACTATCATATATATCACAAAGTGGAACCAGGAAGAGCTCAGAGTGGGCAAATATCACAAAGTGGAACTAGGAAGAGCTCAGAGTGGACAATTGCCCACCCTGAAAAAAAAAATTTTAGAAAAAATTTATTTTAACTATTTTGCCTACCACCTTCAATAAATGCAATTGCCACATTCTAAGAAAAATCAATTTCTATTTCATATGTAAGACTATGCACTTCACAATCCTATTTTACCCACAATCAAAAGAGAGGCTGCTTATCAAATGTGTAATTGAAAAAATAAATTTTTACAACCAATAAATGACACATTTCCACATCAGAAATTACTCAAATAAATAATTAAGAATATTTCTAATGTCTCATTTGGTTGCTTAATTGCAGGCAAAAGAATGCCTAAAAAAGTTAATCTTTTGTATATGAAATTTAAATTATTATTATTTTTTAAAATTTTAAGGAATTTCTAAATGATAAAACTTATATATTTTTTTAAAACACAGAATATTGTAAAATTAACTATTTTAAAAAATGTACCCTAACATGTATATATTCAATAAGTTCTCCTTCGCCATCTTTTAAACAAAAAATAATATTTATTAAATAATAAAAACAGTTTATCAAATTTTATTATTATTTAAAAAAAAAAGTATGCCTATTTAAATTTCACAAATATTTCATCACTTCCTCATCATAATATCCGACACGCGATTCCTACTTCGGTCGACGGTTGCCGGCGCGCCTTTTGTAGGGCCGCTCCACCGTCTCTTTTGGACACTTCCCTTCTCGAGATCGAGAGGAACAGCCGGCAGCTCGGGTTATACCACGACAACGTCAACCTCTCTCTCTCGCTGTCGCCAACCTCTCCATCCATACTCCCACCCTCGCATTCTCTCTCTTCTACTAAGGTCACCGGAAGTCCACCTACGCGGCGACCTAATCCTACGCGGCGGAAACAAAATAGGCATGACTGAATAACAAAGCCCACAAGGTGTTTGATAAAATGCTTGACTAAACAGCTATATTTCTTTTGCATTCTTCTATCTGATATGCATGTCCCTCAAGGAATTTGGGCTCTTTATTTCGTATTCTGAAATTTATCATTCAATTAAGCTATATATTTTTTTTCATAGAACTTTCTAATGGAGTTAAGTGGCTCAAGATGGAAGGGGAAGGGCTTTGCTGACATTGCTGCAGAGAATCCCATGTCTGAAATTGTGAGGAAACTCAAATATTTTCTCACTCAATCAAAAGAAACAGCTATGCTTTCCGGCTGTGTCTCCCTCCTTGAGGCAAAGACAGAACTTGCAGACCTTTTGAACCGCTCTTGCTTCGGCCGCCAGATCACCACATCAGAGAAGGCCAACCATTGGTTTCAGCTGAGTTCGGAAGAAACCTTCTATATGCTTCATGATCTCCAATCCTTAACTATCATAAACCAGACCGAGAGCCCTCTCAGTGAATTGGAGCTATGGAATTATATGAAAGTTAACAAGGAAAGATTTCCAGAGCTCTACATGGCATATGCTCATCTCAGAAGGAAGAATTGGGTGGTTCGAACTGGAGCTCAATATGGTGCGGACTTTGTGGCTTATCGTCATCACCCAGCTCTTGTGCATTCTGATTATGCTGTGGTTGTTCTTCAGGAAGGTGATGGCATTGTCCAGAAGAATGGGAGACTGCGAGCTTGGTCGGATTTGCAGTGCAGTCTTCGAGTGAGTGGAAGCGTCGCGAAGACATTGCTTGTTCTTTTTGTCAACAGGAATGGAAGTGATGGAGCTTTCCCTTCTTGTTTGCAACATTTCAGTGTTGAGGAGAGAACAATCACTAGATGGGTTGCAGAGCAATGCAGGGAGGACGAGTGAAGCCTTATACTTGTGCTCGCCATCTTCATTGTAATGTTGAGTAATTTGGATTCAGGCAAACTTATTATTCATGGTTGTAGAGAAAGAGTTTATCGACTTAGACTTCGTTTGGGACGACTATCTTACTGCTTCTTAAAATAAATTTTTAGTATAAAAATTTAAATTTTTATACTAGAAAGTTGCTTTAAGAAACATAAAATACTTTCATTCATAAGTTGACGGAGAAGCGTAATCCGGTCGATTGGGTGTCTTAATGATCTCAGGTGTCTTAGTGATCTCATTGGAGATCTAGAATATATATATCTTACGGGGAGAACCATTGGAACGAGTTTTGGATTCCTTAATCTCAAAGCATCTAAGAGAGTAAGGTTTTTCGAAAGGATGAATGATGGGGACATCAGATCGTGGAAGGTTTACCAGAGACGTGGTCGCCGATCTACGGCCACGATAGATTCATTGTATTTCTGATTATGTCATGTACTGTTTTTATTTTCATGTCGTGTACTTTGCTTATTTTATTTATTTTCCGTTGTACCCTTCTAGTGAATGGGTGTTGTATGTAAGCCCCGAGGGCATGTTAGTCTTTTATTTCTTGAGTCTTTTATACTAGGCTATTTATAGCTCATTGTTCTATTTTCTGAGTAATAAATGATTATTATAAAATTTTCCTACACTTGTGTTTGAGAGTTTTTGGAGAGAACTTTGGAGAGATCCCTAGAAGAGGGAGATTGGCGTAATACCCACCAACCTAGATAAGTCGGGTTCGTGGTTCCTTTCTTGTATCTCTTTTTCTTTCTTCCTTTCTCCTCCACCCCACCTTGCCGCCGGTTTCCCCACCTCACCCGAGCCCCCTCCTCCCCCTTCAATCCCATGGTCCAACCCCTTACCCGAACCCCCAATGCCGCCGGTCCCAATTCCCTAGCTGCCGGTCAGACCCCTTCCATCCCCTCCCTCCATTGCTCCACCTTGCCAAATTGGGATTGACATCATTGGGGCTGATTTGAAATTCAAATTCAAGCAATTAGAATTTTAAAATCTTTCCTAAGTTAGTCAATCTATTTTTGGAAAGTTTCTAAACTTAAACTATTTGAAATTTAAATTAAAATAGGAGTTAAGTAATGCTTTCCTAAAATCCAGAATTTAATTTAAGCAAGCTTGGACACTTGGTATTAAACCCCAAGCCCATGGATGCCGCCGGCCTCCCCTCTCTCCTAGCCCATTAATGCTCCCTTAATTATTTCCTAAACTCAAGTCTTCCTTTAGAAAATAATTCCAAATCCTATTTCCCCCTTCTTGGCCGAATTTTTCAAATCCCCTAATTCCTCAAATCATTTCCTAAATCAAATGATTTAGGAAAATTAATTCCCCACCCCCAATTGTCCCGCCGCCCCCTCTTTACGCCCCCTCTCTATCCAACCGCCTCTTTCTCTCTCTCTCCCTACACTTAATTCCTCCACCGGATTTGAAGGATTGGATTCTCCTCCTAGAACTTCAATCCTTGTTTTCTAAAATCTGAAATTTCACTTCAGATTTTTGGAAAGGAACTCGTTCTTAGCCTCTTCCCGATTTTCCCTTGGAGAGAAACTTCTCTCTCCCGAAGAGTCAAGAGGGTAAATAATCCTTGGAGGACTTGCTAACTAGCACCTATGAATGGCAGATCCGGAAACTGAATACGGCTTAACCTTCGACGCGGACGGCTTCACTGATATTCTCCAGTCAACCTTCTTCGATGTGAATACAAGAGTTGATCATACCGTCGAGGACTACCTAGAGCGTATTCTTGACACCTTAGTGGAGGAAATCGATGAGCACTTTGAAGGCGTCGAGTGGAGGATCTCCACCGCTCCTTGACGATAGGTTATCTTTTCCCCTTTTAATATATTTCTTTAATCTAACTCTCTCTTGTGCTTGATTGTAGTCACGAATGACGACTCCCCCTACTACTACTACTAAGCTTAGTAAACGTAGGGTTTTGAGCGTGCCTTTATGCTTACTAATTTTCATTGTTAGATTAGGGATTGTATTGATACTACTACTTCGGCATCAAGTGATTTACTAATTGATTTTGAAAGTTTTTCAAACTCTATGGTTATATAATTTAGCCTAAGCGGGTGTGACCCCTTTCTTGTTTTATTCATTGTTTTAGAATGCTAATGGTGTCTTCTTTGTTATTCTAATCAAGAGTTGTGCAAATCTTTACATGACATTGCATTCGTACGTAATCCTGCATCAATGAATATTGCTTTTAAAAGACAAAGGATGAGGAGCTTCAATAGACAAAGGTGTTTCTCTTAATTTCTCAGCTCATCTCTGCCTCAAGTTCTGTCAATATTGCTTCTATTGATATGTCCTTAGTTTTAGATTTAGCAGTAACAAACGATATTCATCTTGAGGGAGAATTACATGGCAAAAAAGAAAAAAAAACCTTAAAGATTGATTATTTATTTTTATTCATATTGTATATGTTTTGATTTCGAATGTATATATTATCCATATCAAGATTTTGGCACGCTAAAGAGGAACATGTTACCACTTATTCTATTCCTGAACTTTCTGTTATTTTGTTTTATTCTCCACCTTTACTTTCACCTTTTTGTCCATTTTTTTATTACACTAGTACAGTCTCACTTTTAGGAGGATGAGATCGATATACTATGAAAAAGGGAGGACAAATGGAAAATACATATAGCAGAGAAGGAGAATTGGAGAGGACAATTGTTTTCATCTTAGCAAAACATGTTTAAATTTATATAGTTGTATAGTATATATCTGGATTAGCTTCACCGTTGTTTTGTTTCCTTCTGGATGTGGAGTTGTTGGACTACTGTTGCCACATCAAGTTGGTATCAAAGCCCCATGATATGGGAAAAGACAATGATAGAAGGAAGCCATCGGGGAGCTCCCGATGACGATCGGAACTCAGATGCATTGTGGGTAACGCAAAATAACATGGCAAGGTAACTTGCCACTCTGAATTTGTTTTATTCACCGTGGAAATGAGGCGAGAGTTGCAGGCTATTCAACTAGGTGGAGGATTCAATCCAAATCCTCAGCAAGCACATCCAACAAACATACCGGTTGCGCCTCGCGGCAACATGATGCCGGAACGTGAGATAAGAAAGAGACCATAAATGTTCCCAGAATTATCGGATTCTGATTGAAAAGAGCCAAAGACATGAAGGCGACATATGGAGGTTACTGATTCTGAAGGCGAGGAGTACCTTGTTCAACCACCACAACAATGACTACATCAATGACCATAGAGACAACCCAACGAATTTTGGGTTAAACTGGATATCCATTTCTTTGATGATTGCATGCACATTGAAGATTAGGGAAAGGTCAATGGAAACTTTCTTTGAGTGTATGAACATTGCACTCAAAAAACAAGTGAAAAATGCCGCCTGCCAGCTGAAAGGAGGTGCAAGTGCATGATAGTTGTAGTTGTTACAGATGTGACACCATGAAGAAAAAGGTTGTGTTCGAAGTTGGTATCAAATGAAACAGTTTTTACATGGTCATTTTCTAACCACCGACTTTGAGCAAATGCTCTACATGAGAAACATCAGCATTGTATACAAAGAACTCGCACCGCCAATGAGTACACGAAGGAGTTTTACAGGTTTAGTGCTTGCAATGATCTTAATGAATCGAACCATCAATTGGTCACTCGTTATATAGGGAGGCTGAAAGAAATAATTCAAGACAAGCTGAAGTTGAGTTCTGTTTGGTCTCTTTCACAAGCCATTAACTTTGCTTTGAGGATGGAAATGCAACTTTATTAGACACTCCCGAACTCACTCTCATTAGCATCAATTGGGCAAGTCGGTCGCTGAATCCAAACTCCCAACACCTAGAAGTAAGCCAACCCTTTTACAAGTGCAACAAAGTACACACAAAAGTAATCCGACAACTAATGCCACAGGGACGGCCAAACCCTGCACTACGACTAAAGACAACTCATATTCAAAACCAACTACATTAAAATGCTAGGTGCTTCCAACCAAGTCATAAATCGAACGAATTTCCGCATCGACCTCAGATTTAGGTTGTTAAAAGAGAATTTGAAGACATCCTAGCTATGCCAAAGGATGGTGAAGTTGCTGGAACTGAAAACATTGTGGTTGATGAAGAGGAGGCTGTAGTATGTGTTTTAGAGAAGTTGCCCTTAGCCCCATGACAACCCATCAACTCCCAACGCAACTCAATTTTTCGAACAAGGTACATTGTTAACGGGAAGGTGTGTGAATTGTTAATTGACAATGATTACATTAAGAACATTGTCTGGCAATCGCTGGTTCATGCATTGCAGCTAAAACCTACCAGACATCATCAACCATATAAAATCATATGGGTCAAACGAGGTATTGATATTCCTATTACAGACATGTGCAAACTTACACTATCTATCGAAAAATATAACTCGTGTGAAGTCATGTGACTTGCTTGAGATGGATGTTTGTCATATCATCCTGGTGTCTCCTTGGCAGTACGATAGTGGAGTCTTATATGATGGCTGACAAAATACATACCCGTTTGATTGGAAGGGAAAACGTCTTTGATTATTACCAAATTCAATTGAACCAACTCCCAGTACTCCCAAAGGAAAAGTTGTCCTTAACTTTGAGTATGTATATACACTTATGCATCCTAGCCATGAGACCTTCAAGCTATAGGCTTTGGTAGCTACTGAAGAACGTACCAACAACTCTATTACTCAACCACCTGAGGTAATTCAAGCCTTAAGCAATTTGAAGACATCAACCCATAATAACTTCCGCTTGGTCTGCCTCCTCTAATGTCCAAACAACATCATATTGATTTCATATATAGGGAAGTGTTGCCAAATTTAACCCACTATGGAATGAGCCCCAAAGAGCATAACATACTACAAGAATTGGTTGAAGACCCAGCGCAAAAACAAGTCATTCAGCCGAGCTTAAGCCCTTGCGTTGTTCCAGTCTTAATTGTTCCAAAAAAAGATGGTTAATGACAAATGTGTATAGACAGTCGTGCAATCAATAAAATGATAATAAAATATCATTACTTGATGCCTCGTTTTGATGATTTGCTAGATAAATTGACGGGTTCTAGCACTTTTTCCAAACTAGACCTCCGTAGTGGGTATCATCAGATTTGCATCGGCCCCAGTGACGAGTGGAAGATTGTTTTTAAAATGTGACGCGGTCTATACGAGTGAAAAGTTATGCCTTTCAGGTTGTGTAGTGCCCCTTCCACATTCATGTGTTTGATTAAAGAGGTATTAAAATCATTCCTAAGTAAATCTTGTCTTGTTTATTTTGATGATATCTTGGTAAATAACAATACCATGGCAGAACACATGGACCATTTTACTCAAATTTCCACACTTTGAGAACCCATAAACTATATCTCAATATATGAAAGGGTGAATTTGTTGTACCCAGAGTTTACTCCTTGGGTTTTATAATCATGACAAAAGGTGTTGCAGTAGATCCACGAAAAGTTTCGACTATAATGGAGTAGCCAGTTTCTAAAACTTTATTTGATGTGTGGGGCTTTCATCGTCTTGCCAATTTTTACCGACGTTTCATCCACGAGTTTAGCATTATTATGGCTCTAATTACTAATTGTTTAAAGATGAAGAGTTTCAGTTGAAATACATAACAACAAAACAATTTTGAAGGTAATA